GTAGAGACTGTCACGTCTGTCCACGGTACTAGCTACGGTACCGATACTCTTTGACAAAATTCAACACTAAAACTACATCATTATCACTATTGATATTGTTTTGTTTGTAACTTGTAGTTCCTGTGAATGTTCTTGTCTATAGATTGAAGTCGTCGATTTTCTCACGAATGTTTTGTGAAACGTCGTGTATTAGTGTTATTTATTTCACTTTTAAATGTACAATAACAATGTGCATAAACGTATACTTTTCGCACATAACGATTCAACATAAGCGCGCCTGTGAACACCGCAAGTGTTGTGATGCAATCGCGCGTTTCTCTGCCGAAATCGCTGGCGAAAGCGTTACAGTAGGAAATAAAAAACTATTTTAGCTTACATAATTATATAAAACGTCACAGCGAGCGTATACAGATTCATTTCAGGTGTGTGTTTCACATCAACTAGGCTGAATGCTCTATGCGAATACTGTTTAAGTTCATAAGGAAAGAAATGTTTGTTTGAATTTCTAAAATAAATAAATTATGTTACACACTAATGAGTAGACTCCTGCTACAAGAAATCACTAATTTTTTTAAAGTCCGAGACCTTGTTAGTAGGGTCGAGCCGCAGCCGCCAGGAGGGGCGGCGCTCGGTATTGGCGGCGATGGTCGCCGTCGCGGTGGCGGTCGCGCATGCCAGGGCCGCCGACACCGCCGCCTCGCCGCCGGCGCCAGTCCCCCGCGCCTACGCCATATTTGCCACGTTGGTACGTTACGTATTCTTATACTTACTTAATCATGGTTGTATTTTTAGTGCCAAAGTATCGTAAACCTGACCTCAAACACTAGGGTGCTCAGCTTGAAGTGTGAGTACCAAATTAAAGAAATTTATAAAATTTTGAAATATATGCAGACAAGAGACAATTTGGAAACAATTCGTCACCTACGCAGGCTTTGGACATAACACTTTAAAAAATACATAAGACGCATTTATTCCCCCAGTTTAAAATGAGTTATGCAAACGTATAGGTAGTTATGAACATAAATGTTGACGTCCATAGTAACACGAGCGGCACACATTAATTATTGCATAATAACTGCAGAGTTAATTCAATGCAAACACTTTGGGACCGATGAGTGGTGGCTAAACTCGTAAACACAAACTCAACGTATGTACAATTGTCTTCACTAATTTCCAACACCTACACTATTATATTAATGCGAATTTTTAAATTTGATCAAACCTCTGCCCAAACAAAATTAGGTGTATTTACTTTTCCATCCCTCCACCAATTTATAGCAATGTTAATGACCCGCCCATTAAATCCACCCGCGATAAAATTCGGCATGTTCCCAATTCGTACACAATCTTAAGCGAAAATCTTCGCTTTTCACAATTGAACCACATTAATTAATCTTTTTTAGAAATAAATGTAAATAAGTACACCCGTTTCAATGGCGGTGGAAGACGGTAAATGAAACAAGCCTAAAATCCAGGAGTAGCAAACCCTAATGAACTGAAAAGCATAGTACTGAACCAAGTGACATACCAAGGTATCTGTTGCAGTTGTGTCGTCCTTTTTGGGTGCGACCGTCTCCGTGCCATTGTCGGCCTTCTTCTTGACCAGCTGTTCGGCGGATTTGATCTCATCTAAGGTGACGCCTTGCGTAGAGCGTCGGGTCTCCCGAACTCGCTTCGCGTGTGCCTTCCGTTGCGTCTCGCTCTCATCGTCCCGCACCGGCGGTACGAACGATCTACACAGAATTCAATTGTAGTAGAAAAACATATTGAAGGGGCATTTGTTACTATGCAGGCATGTTTCAAAACGACCATTCACATATTAATGGTTGTCTTAAGGGGATTATAGCTCCAGTAACTTGAAAGTCAGTCTGATGTTCAGAGTGATATGCCAAAGTACATAAACTCTGGAGAGGAAAGCCTGGTTTTCAAGTTACGCTGTTAGGGGGGTTACTGTTGTTTTGAACACTCTGCCTCATAGCTGCAATTGCCACCACGAGTTGTTCGAATTCTAGAAAAAAGTGATATAACTGAGTAAAGTTAAATAATTATGAATAACAAAATGCCATGTGACAGATCATAATAAAACTGACTTAAATTTACCCAGTGAATATCTCTGGATATAGTAAAAATAACATCGACATCTAAAATTAAACAAATATATCCTACAACATGCACTTTCTAAAAAACAACACGTATAGTTTAAAATTATGTGCATAAAGAGCATTATGACTGTGTCACTGTTATAAATAAGTGTCCCATATCGTAGGCTACAAAACTTTATAAAAATTGTAATAAAAAAATGGAATGATTTTCCAGACCCCAAAAAAATTCTACTGGGTCATGGGGCATTATTTACAAAGAGTGTAATAAAAATCCAATAAAAAAAAAGAAATTGGATACCCATGCATTTTGTAAAGAAAACATAAATTTTTTGCAGTCTGTTTACGCCTTAAGTCTCGGTGATGTAAAAGATATGTAAAATTTCATGAAGATTGGAGAATATTTACAGGTTCATACTTTGATCACTTTTGTAAATGTATGCCAAAATACGATTATTCAATGTTATTATGTTTTGTTGAGAAATCTGCAAATCATGAACTTAAAATTATAATAAAACTAAACACTATGATTAATAAGTAGTACGATACGTAAAAGATGTGTTATATTAAATCAAGTGACGGGACGAAGTAGTCGTGCGCCTATGGCAAGCGGCACGCCTGTAACAATTGCAATACCACAATACAAGAGCTTTAAATTGCAAAGATATGAGGTGTACTACTACTGCTGCCGTCACCCTGAGATATAATTTACAAGTCACATGTGCCTGTAATTTCACTTGGAACGATACAATTCCCTCTTTTGCTCGGTTTGTGACTTTTCTGTGATATTCGACTACAAGAATTTTGTTTTTGTTGTTCGTCCATGACCGATCTATTAATCTTTTTATCAGAGCAATTCCTCTTTCTGCGGTGTCATTGACCACCTTAATAGCCTCGTGGACGTGTTTGACGTTGACAAAATATGCAACCTTGTATCATTGTACGCTTTTGATTTCAACACCGCGTAATTTCATTATAGTTAGTTAGTTAGTTGCAGCCTACGAACGCGCCGTTTCCCAATGCTACTAACGCGGCTTTGCACTATCCCTGACGATACATGTCTTATACAACACTAAGACTACAGGCGTAAGCAAAATCATGTGAAAATTGCATCTTTGGAAAAAATGGAAATAAAATATTTCTTCAGTTTGTCTGCGTATGTTATTTGTTTTCATCCAGAATGAAAAATAAAAAGGAAAAATGTCACACACATTGTTCATTATATGGTTACTTACTCAACCATTCTCATTACAGCCTCTATAAAAAACTGTATCACGTGTAATTTTTTAAGCTGCCTTTACATTTGTAAGTTTTATTCACGTAAGTAACTTTATCAAGTTGCAAACGTATATACTCTTGTGTTGTCTTACGCAGCTTATCGTAATTTCTAATAATTTGTGAAAGTTGAAAAATTACATATCTAAACAATTCAACATGAAACTATAACTCGAAATCTTATAAAAAAAATAACCAAAAAATACTTTGTAGTGTTAATTATAGCTAAACAAATATAAATGACAATCCGTGGTGGAGCCGTGGCGAATGACCATTAGGCTCTCAACTGGCGAAATTGCCATCCAAAATAATCTATATTTTTTAGCAGTTTGTTCTACTAAACAAAAATCAAATTTAAAAAAATTTAAAATGTTATTATCCTCCGTTCTTAATTGCAAAGAAAGACTTGCAAATGCACCTTGTAACATTTTTTTTTCTTTTCAATGTTCAAACCAGTATTTTCATTGCATTGGTTTTTTGCTTGTTAAAATTATGTATGCAGCAGCTGCTTTGGCTAGATGAGGCGACATTTGCGATTCTGAATTGGATAATTTATGTGTAATTCGTATTAATTTTTCGCATGTAAGCAAAACTTACTAAGTATTATTTACTGTAATTTTTAAATTTTATGGAAATAACTTACAAGTGTAAAGGATGCCTTACTGTTACTAATTAAAAGCCACTATATACAAACAAAATATCAAATATCTGAGCACAACAACAGACAAAGCAGTAATAAAATAAACACGAAACACACGAGGCAGTACATTTTGATTGGACGTAATAATAGCATACCTTTTGACAGCATTCGGTCAGTAAAAAGTTTAAGCGAATAACACACGCGGCCCTTCTGTATGCCTATCTAAATAATAAAGTACGAACTTTGAAATCATGGTTCGAAAATATCAAGAATTTGAGATTATCAGATGATTATCCATACTGATTCTTAAAAATTAAAATAGCATCTAAAACATTATGCAAAAAAAAATTGTTAAACAACACAAAAAATAGAACAGCAAACAGCCAGTGGTCCTAGGCAAAATTAAAAATCAAATAAACACAAGTAAATATCTTTGGAAACATGGTTTCGTATTTGTTTGAGAGTTTTATATATTGATACTTGACGCGTTTGGATAAGTAAGTTTTGTTTTACCAATTAATTTTACAGTAGTCATTTATACATGACTTTGCAAAACAAACTGTTTTATTCAAAACGTAATGAATTTATATATATTTAAACTAATTGTTATAATGAAATTAGAAAACACTTTTTTTTAAATACCAAGTGACGGGACGAACAAATCGAGCGCCTGGTGGTAAGCGACACGCCTATCCATAACAGTTGCAGTGCCAATCAGGGCTTTAAATCGCAAAGATCTGAGGGGTTACTACCACTGCGCCCGTCACCCTGATACATAAGTTCACCAGTGCCCTTCAAAACCGGAAACCGGAATGCTGACATTACTGCTTGGTGGCAGAAATGGTAAGGTGGCAGTGCTTCTCTGGACGAACCTTTCACAAGGAGCTCTACTGTGCTGGGACTTGCAGTGTTTTGCATTGACACAATAGAACTGCCGTACCGATGTAATGAGTGGGATAATCATGATGTCAAATACGAATTAGATTAACAATTCAATCGTCAATTGTCTTTCAATCAACATAAAAAAATCTTACGTAATGCTCGAATAGCTCCAACACCTAGACTAGAAAATAATGCAATCATGCCGTTTGCCCCAGCAAGTCGCAAAAAAAGAGATGCACTAATTTAAGTGTATATATATCCCTCTCGCATCCTTTCAAGTAAAACGCCAGTTAAATATTCAAAGTGTGTGAGTAATGTTGCAGTTACTTTTAGCGACTAAAGCCACCTACGTCAAACCTATAAAAGCTACTACACAAGTAAAATTGTTAACTCAAGAACCTCTGTTTATTTTTTTGATTTGGAAAAATATAAATACATATAAAAATATATAAAAAGAATGCTCTCAGAGGGCAGTACAAAACTCATGATGAAAAAACAAAATACAATAAAGCATGATACAATACGCCCAATCAAAATGTGTAAACAAAACGATAGGTATAAGTGTACTTGAAGAAATTCTTGAAAATGTTGCCAGGCGATAGTTTGGTCGGTGTGGTGGCGCTCGGCGTCGAGTTGCTACTCGAGTTCGACTCTACGCTCTCCGAGCTGGCACACGTCACGTTACCATTGTTATAATACGTCATTAAATAGCCAGTGAAGATTCATCTTTCAATGGATTGACATAAGTGTTAAAATTTACTAACGAATAACAATAAAAGAAATCACCATCGAAATTATCTGAACGTTGAAAATAATCATCTCTCCACATCCAAAGGGTTCAATTATATCTTATGAAGTAGTAAGTAGTTATTTTACATCAAAGATTGTTCAAAGTTCTTCGTATTATCGTGTCGATACTTCTTTTATTTTAGGTTTATTGTGAATAAACTAACTGTTTTACCAACCTTTCACTGTAAGTAACATTATAAGATATTCATTAAATTTTGTATCACATTTATGAATTCAGTTGAATTATACAATATAAACTGCGGTGCTCTGCAGGGTTATATGACTGGATTTTATATTATATTCAGAACATTACATTATCCATGTGATGCAATGATTAAATCAACACTAATATGATCACGTACCTCTTATGTCGCTGCAGTAATAAAGTAAGTGTGTCCGAATTTGCCGTTGTAAACCATTGAAAAATCCATCTTCACGAAATATTCAGTAAAAACATAACTAAAAAAACCAATCGGACGGACGTATTTATAAAAACAAAACGTTTCTAAACGTCTGTTAGAAACTAATAAATAGTGAAGTTCGCTTCTGTGGCTTGTTCAACTCACGTCGAGCTCCTTTACAACAAGTCTTAGGAATGTTTAGTAATATTTAGCGGGACACGCTTAGCGAGCCGACGTAAGGAGAACAATCCGTTAGTTCGTTTTACTAAATCATTCTTGTTATAAAGATATAACATGAATTATAGTCCGTGTTTTTTTTTAAAATGGAGTAAAATGACAGTTCAAGTTTCAAAAGTGTTGCCCGCTTGCAAGCAGCTAGTGATTGAAGTTGATTAAATATTCTATCAACTATTGACGGTCACGCTTTGGCAACTTGATTCATATGGATCGTCATCAGCCCATTATTCATCCAACTGCTGGGTACAGTATCATTTGAATTGTCAATTTTTGTAAGTTCAAACATACATACATATTACACAAGTAGTATTTTTAAAAGACGTAGTTCTAAAACTATTTCTATTACAAATATAAAGAGGAGACTTATTTTAAAGTTTTTATAGATAAACCAATCCGCCTGTCTTTATTAAAATGTATATGAATAAAATTTCATTTCGAATAAAGAAGGCAATGACGCAATTAGTATTCAAACGTCGTAACATTCACAATCCAAACATTTTTGACCAAAATTTTACCTTCTTCCACAATCTATCGATAAAACCGTCAACAACAACTATATGGCAGCAGCCTCGTTGGCTATAGTGAGAGACTTGACGAATTTAAACTGACCTCCTTACGTGTTCGCGTGTAACAGGACCTCACATACTTGCACAAGGTTCTTCTTGGTGAGATTGATTCTCCTTACCTCTTAAATAAAATAGCTTTCTCTACAACGTGCAACCCCCGAATACGCAACAAGACGTTTTACTTACGGACATACAGGAATAATACTTCCTTTTACAACTCCCTTGTAAGAATGGGTCGGCTTTACCGTTGTAAAAATATCTATGAAAACATTGATTTGGACATTTTTGATCCAAGATCCAGAGTATTTAAACGAGTAGTAAAGCTACTTGCACTTTATAGATTTTCACCCATTCCCTTGACGCTTTATTATTAAGTAAATAAGTAAATTAACAGTAAATTTAACAGTAGTTCTTTCTTGTTACTTTAGATTTAGAACGATGTGTAGGGTTACGACATAAGTAGGGTTACAATGTAGTACAGAACTTTGTTATATCATTTTAAATTTGGATCAATGTAATTTGATTTTTATCGGTTTTGTTGTCCATATAATGAAAAATAAATAAACATGACTTTAAAATTTTATGAAAAATGGCACCCCTGCAAATGTAATTTTACTCCATCTTAAAAAAAAGACAGGTCATAGTAAAATAATAATGTACAAAGTTGTTTTATGATTCTAAAACAATCAATATGCTCCTCGTCGGTTAGATCACTTAGATGTAAATCTAACACCTCGACAAAATTTATATACGATTTGTTGCAGTTCTACTTCACGACAGTCTATCTAAAAACCGCGTCCCAACTGAATACGATAAAATTAAAAAGCTGGACCACGATTTGTACCTTCTAACTGTGGTCTGTGTTGTTGTATTAGTCAGACTAGTGTTCGATGTAGTATTCGCCGGCGACCATGTGTTGACTTCCCGGTCTCGGAGCTCTATTGGGTTTATTCTGTAAATATGTAATAAAAACTATATTAATAAAATTTTAAAAAAAGTACATAATTACCGGTACAGCAATTTTGAACGTTATGTAAATTACATAATTTCTATGAGAAGAATTTTAACACTTAGATATGGCCCATCGTTTTGTAACGAGAATACATCATTAACAAAATCGTGGTACTATAAATAGAGGAATAATAAGCTTTTTAGGAAAAGTGATGAGCTAAAGGGATTTTTTTCAACAAACATCAATAATTATTACTTAAAATAAACAAAGAACAGAAACTCGATGTGATATTTACAATAACGTAAAATACGCCGAAACATGATACAATTATATATTTTTGAGAAAAGGCAGGCAATAAACATTAATAGATGTGATGAATATGAGAGGAAGCATACATAAAATAACGAGTATTAATAGACTAATTAGATGTGTGTTACATGTGGTTTTTAATCTTTTTTCATGTTAGTGGGGACTGTGATCTCTTTTTCAATTTATATTTTATATAAAGGGTACCAAGTACCAAGAAAAGCAAAATTTCTGCCTACAAGAAAATCGGTTCACATTGACAATTAACTCGCATGCAAGCGCAAGTTACTTGCAAAAAGAAACATGCTTTAATAGCAAATCGAGACCACAATCCACGAAATGTGAAGCACCTTTTCTGAACATCTTCGTTAGTGTCTGTGTTAGTGTCCTTGGGTTGCGCGGGCACAGGCGGAGGCGCAGGCGGGATCGACGGGCAGGAGGATGCCTTGATGCGCGCCGTCACGTCGCGGTATCGCTGGTAGAAGCTGCACAACATTCGTTCGCTCAGACATACCAGTACAACGCAAAAGTGTCAAATATGTGTCGTTTGTATCTATTATCGTCTTGACTCTTTCTAGAACATTTGAATGGGCATATTACTATACGTTGTTGTACTAAATGTAAAGGACATTGAAGAGATATACGTAAATAATAAATAAGTTCAACTTAACTTTTGATCATTACAAATCAATATTAAGATAATAAAACTGAAAATAATATTGTTTCCATTGCATCCCGTGTAACTATTTTAAGATTGCTAAATTTGACATAAGAGCAATATTACTTTAATGTCAAAGTAACGCCATAGTGCGAACTGAGCGAATGAATAGTCACAAAGCTGCCAATAAAACATCATAGTTTTCATTCATCATTTAACATTACAAATAAGCTTACTTTAAGCGCGTTAAGGTACGAAAAGTCAATGTAAGGTTAAAGTAATATTATTTTAAGAGACTGTGGTAGGCCCCCAGTACATTTGATATTACTTGAACTGAATGTGGACCATATCCATACGTAGGTACTGAAATTCCTTTTTTGGATGCTAGATGTCGCTCAACGTTAAGAAATTAAGAAACTTATAGTTGTAAATATCAGTCCAGTTACATACTAATTAGTCATTAATGTTTCTTTTAAATATGATTTTATTTCCAGACTTAGATAGGCCGCTATTATAATTTGAAAAACATAACGAATTTATTTTATTCAAACTTGGAATTACGACATTGGAAGACGCTAAAGAATTTTTTTAACTATGATTTTGCCATTGTTCATTGTTATTTTGTTGCCTATACCCACATTTTGGGTATAGCCAAATGGTCCCACGGGTTAAATACCTCCCCCTGAAATCACGTCTTTCGATCTTTGGTAGTGGGTCACTACACAGTTCGATGGTATGCATAAAGCATTCCCCCGTAAACAAAAAAAAGTTTACGCATCGATTTCCTAGTACTAGTATTTTCCTTATACTTATTTATTACATTATAACAGTGTATTCATTGTTTAAATATTTGTTCTAATCAAAGATCTGATTTGTATCACTGTAAAATACTAAAATGCCCTCAAGCTGAAACTTACATTAGTAACAATGAGATTAGGAAAACAAATATATATATATATAACATATAAAACATGAGTTAGAAACAAATCCGTCACCTTTCAACGCTACGCAAAGACGAGACAAAAGAATCATAGTGAAGATTTTGGAACTCCATAGAATGACTACGTAGAGCTATTTTTCTAGGTAACATTGATACGTCCCAGTGTTACCTAACAACTCTTTATATAACAGATACCGGAATTGGAACATTATACAGTTAGATTATCCTCTATGGCCAAAAAATTACTCACTCATGATCGGGAAATGATGTTGCAAATGATAGATACAAGAAATAACATAGAGTGGTCAAAACCACATAAAAGAGTCTACAATACCCACATTAGTTAAAACAAATTTTGCTTGTAGCTCATAAAAAAGTGTTGACTTTGATTAAGTTACTTATCTAGTACATTTTTTTCACGTCGTGCCATTACAATTACTGTAAAATCCCAATTCAGCTTCCTATGAGAGTAATTTTACCTTAAGACGCGGTAAAACTATTTCCATAAAACCGGAATCCGAATTAATTTTTAGTGATTTTAACCACTTTATGTCACTTTTTGTATCTATATGTAGACATGTATCTACTCATTTGAAACACCCTATTCCAACCATTATTCATAAATAACGTTATAACGGTCAGAATTGTTCTTTCTCTCTATTTACCAAGACTACGTAGTACATTGCATTTAAATAAGAAGACAAGAAATGCAAACATATAATATACAGGTATACATAATAATATAAACTGCTAATCATCGTAATTGAATCTCCATCTCCTAAGACACAGGTCTTACCTCGTTTAGGGGTTGGAAACTCAGTTTAAATGTATTGTACAACCTTGAAGTTTTGTAACTTATGGTGTGTAACCTGTTTATGTATATGTACGAAATAAACAAAAACATTACTACTTTTTTTAAGGAAAGTACTCTACAGCAGATACACGTTCATGAGTACGCGCGACAATTCGTGCTGCTTGCTTTTGCAAGGTCGATACGTTCTCAAAATCAGAAATAACCAAACACCTAAAGCATGATTTATAGGTAACACGATGTAGTTACAAAGTTCAAATGTAAAGCAAGTTCTTGACAGATTGTGTGAGCAATGTTTTTTTATATACAAGACTATTTGTAAAATGTCATCAACCTCCCAATAGGGCTAGCACGGCAGAGCGTGACTTGCACGAGAGCGACATAAAGTGCGAGACCTCTATGCTAGAATAGCAGTATCTCGCGCTTGATGTCGCTCTCACGCAAGTCGCACCCTATCGTGCTAACTTTACTGAACTCTATTACTGTACTAACATCATAAACAAAAACTTTTGTTTCATGACTTTTTACAAAATACAACAAATTTACGAAAAACAAACTTTTAAGTTTTTCTAGTACTATGCTACTCTTTTTGGATCTGTATTCAAATACAGATAGTAGACAGATAGGAAGGTGAAAACGTTCTCCCCGACGACTCCCGCCTCCTTTCCTGCGTTTTGCGTTTATGCGGTCTGGTATTTATTATTATTTTTGGAACATATTCAGAATTGCCGTGCACGCCTGATCAAGGATACACAGACTGACAAATACGAACTGACCAACGTTGAGCTGGTGTTCTTTTATACTGTCATTGACCAGTCTGGTCTAGTATAGAGGTCTTCGACTGCCTCACCTAAGTACGAGACGGCCTTTAAGATAAATTCAACACTTACACCATATAAAAGCAGAATAAAATGTAGAGATGCTGGGCGATATTTGATGACAACATATTCAACTGGATTATCTATAGTATGGAGTTCCAAGCGCAACGTCGAATGTCATATGAATTAGAGCTGATGACGTCACATAGTGTGTATACTTTACGTATGTATTGCTCCAGTTAACGCTAACCAACCTTTCATTATCGAATTGCTTTATCAACTTCCTGATATCGTACACGTCCTTTATTACTCTGAAAATATCGTTTTCTATAGTTATTCAACAAGTTTTGTCTTATACTGCAACACTGCACACGTATTTGACAAAATAACTTCAAACGTTGTTTTCTTGAGAATAGTTAACAATTTATCTGGAATACTAACAATTTCTGGAATGTCTGTAAACTAGTATGAGCATGACTTTAGTAAAAAGAAATTGAGTTAGCACGTTACTTGTTATTTCAAATTGTTTCATAGTATAATTGAATAAAGGTCAAAACGCAATACAGGGCAGGGTATAGTCAGTTAATAGTAATGATATTCATCTATCATAGAGCTGCATTGCGTTTTGAACTTACTGAATTCACGATATTGTTCTACCCTACTTCGGTGGCAGTACAGTTTTAGACATTATGCATGCAAGTCTATGAAAATATGGCACATAGTAGCGTCTGTCGGTCTAGTATCAATTCTATGTATAAAATGAATTGTACTAAATTATGCTATATACCCATCAAACAACAATGAAAGTATTCCTCCAAATACATTTTGTATTACAACTCACATCTTATCGTTTTCAAAGCTCTGTGTCCTCCGGAGTACAGTGTCGTTATCCACTGTGTTGTTCGCTGGCTTGTTGTTCTCTTCTGTAACGTTATAATGAACAAAGGTTATTTATTTAGAGTATACAGGTACTAATAATACATAGGATTTATAATGTACCTACACTATATACAATTAAATATTAGATTCTTCATTTGTGTTACTTATTTACAAATACTTGGCATGTTTATGTTATATTCATGATTATGATTGCACTACGGTAGTTTTAGTACACAGTTTGTGAGTGATTCGTGGGACAATATGGATGTATGTAAATTATACATATTTATAATTATAATCAGGCTGGTATGTGACTACACTTTGATACATGCACACACGATACTTTCGGTATTGACGATGGGGCGATTGTGCCCGAGCTGCAAGACGGATTTATGCCATCGGCATAGATGCAAAATGAGTTTTTTTTAAATTAATATCAAGTGACAGGACGAACAAGTCATGCGCCTGATGGTAAGCTACGCGCCTGTCCATAACAGTTGCAGTGCCACTCAGAGCTTTAAATCGTAAAGATCTGAGAGGCTCTGCCACAACGCCCGTCACCCTGAGATAAAAGTTGACAAGTTCTATGTGCCTGTAATTTCACCAGCACCCTTACCTTTCAAAACCGGAACACAGTAATGCTAACATTACTGCTTGGCGGCAGAAATAGGTAAGGTGGCAATACTTCCGCGGACGAACCTTTCACAAGGAGCTCTACTTCGCTAAAGAGATATATCGATGCTAAGGTCGTTAATAAATCCGTGTTAAGTATAGGATCAATACCAAGGTCTTACTTAAGACAACTGTTATTACATTATATATAAATATCACATGAGAGGATAAGATTGCTCATTGATTACGCAGCTATAGGAAGTTGTTAACACTTCCGGTACTTAGTACTTAACCTACGCTCGGTCAAGACTGGTAATTAAGTCCCAATTCATGAAATGCAGGGCCTTGGGTCACTTGAGATGGTATCATCAAATATGCCGACGATTACTGTGTATTAAAACAGGAGAGCTGGTGGGATCTGAATGACATCTCAACCCATAGGCTCTTATTACCGGATTTGAGAGCTGTTTATTATTATGGACTCGAAAGTATCATGTGGGCACCTAGTAATGAATACTCACTGGCGGCTTCCGTCTGTCTAACTCTGAAAGAGGCAGAACGACGCCATGAGGGCGAGTCGTCATTGTTGGCGGTGACGTCAGCGGATGGCTCGGCCTCCGGCGACGGTGCGCGTCCTTTCGGCGGTTTGCCGTCCGTCTTCGGTATTATCTCGGGCACCGGCGGTTTGTCTACGTGCAACGTTGTATATGTATGGATGGGTGCGAGATGTGGAGACATGGTTTTAAATCAAGAACCCATTTGGACACGCTTATTTTATTATTAATATGTATTTTCTTTATTTATTGCATTGCAATTCAAAAAACATAAATTCAGATTTTACTAGAGCTGTATTTTGATTAGCTAGCAATTTGTACTGGAATAAGTAATAATTTTTATTTTCAGTTTATGTGGCGGAATGACAATATTGTACTTTAAAATGCACTATAGGTACAGCTAGTACAATTCGAACATTTTTGTCGCAATTTTGCCTACTTCACTATCTATCGGTAAAATTGTCGACAACAACTACATAACTAATATCATTTCACTCCATCTCCAAAAAAGACAGACTGTAGATAATATTAACACCAAGCCTTACAGAATACATTTATGATTAAAACCATCTCTCTTAGGCGCATAAAATCTAGAGACGACAAATAGAATGAATGATCAAATGACTTTAGGTGCTTCACATGCACACAAGTTACGTGCGTGCAAATATATTAACAGGGGCTCGGATTGCAATTAACATTCCAGTCATGAGGCCACAACATTAGTAAATTAAGACGCTTTAATTGTTAATACATTGAAGGCCGAATGGGACAATCTATGAGTTTACTATTTGTTATAAACAAATTGTGAACTCATAAATATGGAATGTTTTGGATATTTTTAATACTACTTATTTTTATTGTTGATGTCATGATATTGAAGAACTAACTTGTTCATTAGATGCTTTTTGCTGACCCTAATGTAATCCACTTGTTGTTGAGTGAGGAATTATTCTTCGTGCCGCTAGATCTTATTTATCACATTGGTAACTTTAAATATACATTCACTAACCGTTAACTACGTTATCGTTCTGTCCTGTGATCTGCAACTCGACGCGCTTAATGTCGTGTTTCGGCGGGCTGCGTTTCGTTTTGTTGTTATTGTTGTTATTAACGCGCCTAGAGGACGCCTTTATTATCGCCTCAGACAGCCATGCGGACATACTCGGGTCCACCAAATCCATACAAGTTTGACCCTGAAATACAAACATTTTTTAAATTTTTGTTAAAAGTTTCAATATAGCGTCGCGAAAAGAGGCGGTGGAACTGCTAATTGTGCAATGAACAACTCGAGGTGTACGAACCAAAGGCTCTGGTACCTATCTGGACGATAGGGAGGTTACTCCCTCCGTGGCCGTACGGTTACCATACTGGATTGCCACACAGAGGCTCCGGGTTCGATTTCCAGGCCGGGAGAAATATTTGTATGGCCTACATTTATTTCTCTCGTGAGTTTGGGTGTAATTTGTGGTTGTCTACCTATGTGTTCGTCTGTGGCACCCGCGTTACCGGTTTTTCCTAGTGCGGGGTTATGAATTTGTACAAAAAAAAACCGTACGTGCACCGTACAAGCCGCGTTTATACGTTTGTATACAGTTCCCAGACTTGTCTTATTATATTAAAGTATAACGAACGCATGGATGACTAAAGTAAAATACCAAGCGACGGGACGAACAAGTCGCGCGCCTGGTGGTAAGCGACACGCCTGTCCATAACAGTTGCAGTGCCACTCAAAGCTTTAAATCGCAAAAATCTGAGGGGCATTGCGCCCATCACTCAGAGACATAAGTTGAAAGTTTCGTATGACTGTAATTTTACCAGCACCCTTACCCTTCAAAACCGGAATGCAGTAATGCTCACATTACTGCTTGGAGGCAGAAATAGGTAAGATGGCAGCACTTTCCTGGACGAACTCTTTCACAAGGCACTGTAATGATAGTAGTAACCAGGGACTTACGGAATAGTTTTTGAGGTGCGGGTCGGCGCCGCATTTAAGCAGCAGCACAGCAGCCTCCTTCTGTCCCCAGAGCGCGGCTGCGTGCAGTGGGGTCCAGCCCTCGTAGTCCACGCAGTCAGGCTCTACGTTGCAATCCTCCAGAAGGATCTTTGCAACCTGAGTTCAGATAACATAATTCAATATGAGGGTTATACTGCCTACTAATAGAAAGCTTTGTTTTTCTTATTCCGAACAAATATGCAAGTCACGAAAGCGATTACGCAAGTTTACATAGCACCTATACGTTTAGGCTGGGATAAATGACCTGTGATAAATGTCAACAATACACAGTTTCATCAGGGCTCCGACAGTCGCTCGAGGTTACGCGATAAGTGCCTGCCGCTGTGTGTATCGCCGACAGTGCAAACGCTCAGACAAGTCTTTCATTTACATTACAATCCTCGTACAACCCAAGCATTCGGTCCCGTACAACTGCACACGGCGGGCAACGTTATTTTCACCTCTTAGTGAGCGCCTGGTTTCATTAGTAACATTTGGTAGGCTATTACAACGTAGGTATTTTCGATTTTGTATGAGTGATGTTTCTGTTACATAGTAACTATTAAGTAATCTGTGCCTTCATTATCGACACAAAATCCGCAAAGAGACGTGGACGGTGCTCTCATAGCAGTCACGACCCGCAGTAATTAGAAACCGATTGATTTGTGACAATACTCACGTCGATGTAACCCTTGGCTGCGGCGACGTGCAGCGGCGTGCCGCCGGTCTTGGGATCGCGCACCTCCGTGTACCCGTTCGCAGCCCAGTTGCGCGCGTCAGTCAACAGATTGTCCACCTCAGCGTTGCGTGATCTCTCGTAGTCCACACCTGAAACGTAGTGACCAAATATCACATTTTGTCTCTTGAAAAAGTGCCAATAATATATACGACGTTTCACATCTATCGGAAAACGAAAGCGAGATATATGTTTGCTTGATTGCGTGTAAGGTGTGATGTATTCAGTAAGTTTAAAATATCTTTATTGTTTGACTAAAGCCAATAATGACAATGTCATTAAAACTTCGGGTGGTAAACAAATAAATGTATTTTCTTTCTTTCCTTCTTCTCCATCAGAGCGGAAAGACTACTTTCCGCTACTGGTACAATTGTATCTAACATACCTTTATGGTCAATGGCCTCCCGGAGAAGCTTCTCCATGGCTTCGCACTCGGTGATGTCCACAGCCAGATCGCCATCGTAGTTCACCGCGCCGACATCCGCCCCATTTTCTATCAAGAACCTGCAACGGACAGTGATTTTGATACAAAAGTGTCTCTTCAGAATTTAAAAAGTGGATTTCTAAAAGGGGCGTAACTACTTTTCACTTCGCCTAATGTAAATTTATCTCATGTATTATCAGGGATCTGTAGAATAAATTTTTAATAACTAGTACCATTTATTCACGAACCCATATGCATCCCCCGGCATAAAATCATAGTCCATCTCCCTCTATCCTAAAACGAATTTAGAGCTTCATATGTCCTCTAACAGTTGAGTGAATCTTTTCAGACCTGCTAGAAGTTTTTCTTCTCATTTGAATCTATATATTAACAATGAACATTTGAACGACATACAGAGTAACCACAGGAACACCCTGCATTGACCTGATACTGAGTCATCCTTGTTTACAGTTAGAGCGTTATCAATGCCGTCATTCACTGTCGTACTTTGTTGAACACATTACATATTGTCTTTTAATAATAATTCGCGGAGGCAGTAAGTTTTGTTATTAATTACTGATATATTCTTTCGAAAAGTTAAGTTGTGTTTCAATGGATTAAATCGACAACAGTACGCTTAAAGCAGACGCCTAGCCCACACAAACAGTAATAACTATAAAACGTATAAAATGTCTTTAAACTAGTCCAGTTTTCAGATAACCCGACAGATTACACGCGTTCAAATCGTCTAGCCATTCCCTCGGGGTATACCACGAGGTGTCGAATCTCTTCGAGCAATATTAGACATAGAAATAATATACCTAGCTATGCTGAGAAAACCGCAGGAGGCGGTGGCATGGAGCGGGGTCCAGCCCTCATTGTCTCCACGGTTGACATCGGCGCCACGGCTCACCAGAAACTCCACCATGTCTAGGTTGTCGTCAATGCATGCCTGGAATTCATAAAATTTTAAACAATTACCAAATTGAATTTAACCAAATTGGAACGTTAGGTTTGTGGCGAGGAAAAGTCCTCTATCACGCTTTATAAATTCAGTAACACGCCTGAGAAAAGTTCCTACGACGCTGATGAAATGCCTAATGTAATTAGTACTCTCCGACTGTAATATAAAAGATAAAATACCTCCAACGATATAGTTTTGTAGTACGTTAGTAGTCATGCGTTAGGTATATCGCTGCTTTACCAGAACAATACCACAAATCAAAATAATTCATATATTTACGTGTCACACAGCTGCACTCAGAATGAGCTAAATTTTATTGCGAATAGGACACTAAGCTTTCCATTGATGATTACAATCACAGGACAACAGCCGGTGTACGATTTTGGACGCTAGATACGACTCAGTTTTGTTTTTAAACCATCTTTCTGGTGAATAAGATGTTTTATAGGTGACTATTCTAGACAGCCGTCGATATATTATGATTAAGAACGATTTCGCTAACGCGAGTTAAGCGGGCATGGACGCAGCAGTCTCTAACACCCATAACTACTTATTTACGATGGGATCTTAAACAGCAACAAACTTAGCTACTAAACGGCACCCCGCTATTTTTGTTTGTAGTTCAAAAAACACATTGTAACACGCGTAGCCAACACACGAGGTACTTAGTCTAAAAAAAAGCTTTATCGAGTTCTTACGTTTTCGCGATTGTTACACATAGGAAATGAAACTATTTTTCCGGATTTAAATCGCGTATATTTGTTTTTGGAAACACCTAGCGTATATTTGTTTAGTCAACCATAACTATGAGACCTGTACAGGGCTCGAAACGTTAAAAAAAGCTTAATCAACGCCTCAACGGATGGGAATAATTTGGTCGCTTGCAGATATTGTATTTAATATAATATACCAGATCACTCAAACTAGGGAATTCCCTGAGTACCAGAACACTAGTAGCAGTAGAGCTCCTTGTCGAAGAGTTCGTCCAGGGAAGTACTGTCACCATACCTAACTCTGCCTTCAAGCAGTAATGTTAGCATTACTGTGTTCCGGTTTAGAAGGGAAAGGGTGCTTTTGTAGTTACAGACACATGATATATGTCAAAATATGTCTCAGAGTGACGGGGCAAGTAGCAGTGCCCCTCAAATTTTTGCTATTTAAGTTCTGAGTGGCAATGCAACTGTTGTGGACAGGAGTCCGTCCTGTCACTTGATATTATAAAAAAAAACACTACCTACTACTACAAATTGATTCCAGAATGGAATCAATTTCGAAATACTCATTTCCCCAAATTGGCTCTACCAGAAATCGAGACCGAGACCTCAACATCCAGCGAATACAGTGCAAAACATTGGGCCACCTATGTCGTCAATATTAAAATCAGTAAAATAGTTTTTAATCGCCAAGCTATGAAAATTACATAATCTAAAAACATAGTAAAACAATCGCCATTCAAGATAAAAATTAAAGATAAATCGCATGCAATCTTTCGCTTATTCAAATATAGTAAACCGCAAAAGATACTCTTCTACACTTATCAAGTAACACTATGATATGGAGGTCGGTTCGGTTCTATTGTATAAGTTCTCTTATATCAATACTATATACATATATTCAAATCGACAATGACTTTAATCAAGTTTGTTAGCAAGTTTTATACGCATACTTTTAAAAGTAGAATAAGCCAAGGTGTTCCTAGAGCGATCGGTACTTCTGTTTATAAACTCAAGTACTAAGATTGCTATTAATGCCTTAAATGACATGCGTCAATTATATTTTAATAACAAATCTTTAAAACAAACCTAGCGATGTAAGAATAACACATTTTACATCTTCGAGAAGTAAATATTTTAAACCCGGTCGACAACTAGAGCGTAAAAGCTTCGACCTCTTATTAAATAAATAATATCTGCAATTTGATTTGACATAGAGATTTATATCATAAAACCGATCGATAAATCGAATCGGTTATTGCATATCTCGCGTCAGAACAAGTGCATACATCTTGTTGTGTGCGTGATGTTTTTGGAATAATTGTTCAAATTTTGTTTCGTTGCCATTTCGTTGCAGTTGATTTTACCTTGTTTATTTGTTGTTGTGTCATTTTTGGGTAACTTAATAACATAATAATTGACTTTTTATTTTGTTTATCTGTTCCTCAATTATTTTCTGTTAATCGATTCTGTCATCGTTACCAATTATCTAGATAAGAAATTTAAATCGATTTTTTTTTTCATTCTCTAGAAATTTCATATCTCAAACGTCACTGAAATCATGGTATGTGAAATGAACTATAGTGACCGTATGGGCTATAATGTGCGATATGTTTTATATACTTACAATAATAGATTGTCGCTTTCGCTTACAAAAAATCACGATTAAATCTAACATGCCAAACAGTGGCAGAATCCACATATAAACTCTTAATATTGGCAGTGCTGTTATCCACAAGCCGCATACTATTCGACATATAAACAATTGCATAATGCAAAGTTTACAATAGACACGTAATGTTTATATTGAAGGCAGTGGAAATTATTGTGCCGCCGCATATTTTAATTTTATAACAGCGGTGGTAGTGGGAGAAGGGTTGCTTCTCAATTGAGTGGTTGACGGCCCACTTAGGCTAGATAAAAAGATTTTAACTCTCACTACCTACACTATACAACATATACAAAAACTATATTGTGTGTACGTCATATCAACATTTTAGTAACAGTATAGCTCCTTGTGAAAGATTTCGTCCAGGGAAATACTGCCACCTTATTTATTTATGCCACCTAGCAGTAGCGTGAGCATTCCGGTTTTCTTAAAGATTTTGAGGTGTTGAGGATGCTGGTAAATTAGAGGCAAATGGGACTTCATTATTAATAAAACCAAATCGAACATTTAGAAAAATATTCTTCGATCCGGTTGGCTTCGAACCAGCGTCTTCTGCAAACAGCAAACCTTAGTATTATCAAATGATTATAATTTAAATGATACGAGCGAGTGGTGTAGTTCCATTGTATGTAGTTCCAACGATTAAATATTTGTGATGATATAAAAAAGACATTATTTTGAGGTGATTTTGACGTAAGAATGAGTAGTAGTTTTAACGACGACTCAAATGTAACTTGAAAAATATAGATATTTGATTTGATCCCTTTAAAGAAGACCCAACAGTGGAATCTATAACGGATTGATAGTAATGATGATGATGATCCCTATTTGACAAATTGGCACAACAGATGACTGCTCATATCTAAACATTCATAAATTATACAAAAATAACCAGCGAGTGCCTATCGTCATGTATACAGTGTGTGTTTTTTTTTACTGGGACAGTACGAGGAAATCCGAAACTATATGAGATACAGGAAAGCTGTCTTAGAAACTATTAATTCTTTGCTACTATGAAAACAATTTTAGCATAGTCAAATTTTGGCCAAGCGTGAGTTGTCCATAAAAATTAATAAAATATTTTAGTTCTGATCTACTCAGTATCGTGTACGGGTTATTTCATTGTATAGCACGAAAAAAATCGGGACAACAAAAGTTGGTCAAATTTAATAAAATGTTTTTTCATACAAAATTAATAAAATTGACTCAATTTTTTCAAATGTAAGGATCATGTTATTGTATTGGAAGAAAAAATCGAGACAGCAAAAATTTACCAAATTTAATAAAAAAAAGCTTTTTTCATACAAAATTAATAAAATTGCTAACAGTTTCCTTGTACCTTTTATGATATATATTATACCTCGGATTTCCCTATACTATCCTACTTAAAAAAAACCTGTATGCAAAAAAATTTTTGTTATAGAACAAAAAGCTTTTTCCAATCATCATTTTAACTTAAACTTGTTTTGCGTTCACACTTTGCCTTTTCATCCACTAATATAACAAAAATCGTTAGACACCGTGTGTCTCTGAGAACGCGTGATGGGTTGAAGGTACATAAAAAGGTAATACAGAATGAAACATATATCATATCGTTCGCTAGGCAAAGAGCTTGTTTAAGAACGTGGTCAGAAGTGGTGCATTACAATAAATGCACGGTGCACTAGCTTGGAACCGCAGGGTCAGTGCCACAGGCGGCGGCGCGTGGCGGCGCCCGCGCAACCGGTAACTTGAGCTTCATTTTTTATTCGATATTAATGCAAATTAATGTTATGCTTAGATAATGTAGTCGAACGGATGTTCGAAGAGCATTGGCTACCTGGTTGGGAAAATGATATTTAATTAAAACTAGAAGGTTGCGGTTTCAAATTTTCAAACCAATAGAGAAGTAAATCGTATTTAGAAAACCAGCATGTCGAGATAGGTTCACACAACACTTCAAAGGTGTGTGCGATTTGTAAAAGCTCGTACGGGGCCAGTATAGTGCAGTTCTCCAATACCAAAAACACACTTTTGCATGAAAGACATGGTGAATACATTCGCATAGCAATAGAGCAATCGTAACATGATTGCATGATTATCAAAATAAAAACTCGCATCAGCTAACAAAACAGCAATACATGTAGGACTATTAAATTCACATTAAGCCTTTGTGGAAACAATGCCGTCGCCGATGGCAGCCGAAATGTTATCGAATCGCCTTAGCCAATGTACTTTGAACTGTGAATGCCGCGAGAGCAAGATTTCTACAAATATTTTGCTATAGTCCGCAACGCCGTTCACATGTACCTAAAACGTAAGACATTAACATTATGAATAGGTTGAGATATTAAACTTACCTCTTGAAAAAGCGTTACTCTTAAAAAAAAATACAAATGATACGGTGGTGGTGTAAAACTAATGATGGTTACGCTATATGCATCCACAAAAAAACTAGGAACAGGGTTCGATTTAAAACAGTGTATGGTAAATGGAAAAAAACCATTATCTCTCCGGATGCGAGATCGAGTAACTGTTACAGTGGTTCACACAATTACTTCGTACTACTCTTAATCTCTAACAAACCTCATCTCGTAAAAGTTAAGATCACGCATTTGCATGTCATG